TCAGTTTCCAAGTATTCTTATAACTGAATTCTCCCAGCTGCAGTTTATATCTCTTTACTCTTGTCTTTGTAGCCACTTATAAAAACAAAGAACTTCTCAGTGAATAATTACTATACTTCTGAGAGGTCTCTGACATTAACTCTGTAATATAATAGAATTCCTCTCTGTCTTTTCAGAATAGTCCAGTCCAAACATATAGACTCAGAATACTCAGGAATCATAAGACAACTCAGATCTATAAATCTAGTAGCACTCACTGATAGAAACTTCTTGTCCCTGGGTCTCAGTTAACCTGGCACATGTATTTAATACGCCATTAAATCAAACTAAAAATATTCCTTCTGAGAATGGCATTAATTCCAGCAAATAGAAAGGTTTTCTGTCATATGTCACTTATAGATAGGTTGACTTTGTTCTATGTAATAGTTTGTAAGATGGTGAAGAAAATCAAATACAAATTTCTATAATAATTAATTTTGGTACTTCAGAAATATCTAAACTTAATCATCAGCTTTTGTTAACCCACACCTCTTCCATGTGTACCACTATAAATATGTAAATCACTATCCAGATAAATCATACAGAGAATCTCTCTTCCTGATGGAATCCTGCTTTGATTTTAAGATCCAAATAAAATGATGTGTCCTACAAAAAATGTCCCCATATGGAACTCCTCAGAAGTAATCAATACTTCCCTTTCACCAAGAACATGTTGCTTATATTTCTAGTAACATATTTATTTCATTCTACCTTACAACACATTTATAAGCCTCCAACTTAATCAACATTTGTTTAGTAGCAGATTCAAGTGATCATTATGTCTAAATACACCAGACAGCACTTCTTACACACACAAAGCAAGATATTTACAAATACCTTCTCTATTAGAAAGGTTTGGGCCTTCACAATACTTTTTTTCCATTTATGGTTATAAGAAATAGGTTTAAAATGTGCTTCCTCTTTCTCTCCCACCAAATCAGCTATTTCCTGACTTCTTATTTCTTCCAATGGCAAAACTAGAGACCCTCCAGTCTCTTGTGATTCCTCTCTCTCTCCTAACTACATTGTCTTGTGCTAAATCCTCCACAATATCTTTTGCATTTGTTGCCTGTGTTCCAATTCCACTAGCAAGGTCCTTCTTCAATCCTTCTTATCCTTTTACGGAGAATGTATCAGTAAATCCCTAACTGGACACATTCTTATACTCAGTAACAGGATAGTATCTAATAAGATTTCAAAATACATGAAGCAAAAAAGCTAACTAAGACATAAAACGGAAAAGTCACAGTGATAGCTGGATATTTTAACAATATTTTCTGTTATTAATAGAAGTAAACAAAAAATGCATAGGGATATAGAAATTACTAGGGACATATAAGATTGTAAAACAATTTAGCATGTGACATTTATAGAACATTTTACAATAAATGCGGGACATAGCTTATTTTTCAAGTGCAGGTTGGAAATAGAACAGATTTGGGGCCATAACATATGTCTTAATACATTTCAAAGAATCAAAATCATGGAAAGTACATTCTAAGACTACCAGGGTATTAAGTTAGAAATCAGTAATAATAAAATATCTAGAAAATTAATCACATATTTAGAAATTAAGCAGTACACTTCTAAAAAAAAACCTTATGGGTCAAGGAACAAATCACAAGAGAAATACTTTCTAATTCAAATTAAATAATAATGAAAACATAGCAAAATTTGTGAAATGCACCTAAAGTATTACTAAGATGAAAATTTATAACTTTAAATACCTATATTAGGAAAGAAAGGTGACAAAATAAACATTCCAACTTAAGCAAGAAAAATAACAAATACACAAAGTAAAAGATAAGAAATAAAGATAATAGCAGAGATCAATAAAATATATAAAAGATAAATAACAGAAAAAATAAAAATCCAAGTTTCTTTGAAAGTATTAAAAATATTAATAAAATTAATAAAAATGCTCCATAAGACTTATAAAAAACAAAGGAGAAAAAACAAATTACCAGTAACAGGAATATAGTAGGCAGCATGAGTAAAAATCTTACAGAAATCAAAAGGATTTAAAAGGGGATATTATGAAAAACTTTATGCCAATAAATTCAACAACTTCAATGAAATTGACAAATACCCTAACAGGTATACATTAATAAAAGTGGCTCAGAAAGAATTAGAAATTCTAAGTAGCCCTGTATCTATTAAAGAATTTGAATTTGAAATTAAAAACCTTGAGAAAATGAAAACTGTATGCCCAGGTGACTGCACTGATAGATTCTATTATACATTTAAAAAGAAATAATATAAACTTAGGATACACGCTACCCCAAAATAAAAGGGCAAACACAATTCAGGCTATTCCATGAGGTCATTGTACATAACATTTAAATCAGATAAAGACACTATAAGAAAAGAAGCTAAAGACAAATATTCCTCATCAACATAGATGCAAAGATTCTTAACAAACTATTAATATACCAAATCTAGGCATATGTAAATGGGAAAATATATTATGACAAAGTGTGGTTAATCCCAGAAATGAAAGGTTAGTTTAATATTTACTAGAGGTCTCAACCAGTTGATCAAGGCAAGTAAAAAGAAACGATAAAAGGAAGAAGCAAAACGTTTTACTTGCAGATGACAGGATTGTGCCTGAGGAAAATGTAAGAAATTCCTAAATGTTAAGGAATCAACAACAACAACATTAAGCTACTAGAACTAAAAAATGGTCTTAGCAATGTTGCAAATACAATGTTAATTAATAAAAAATCAATTATATTACTACATACTAGAAATAAATGCTAGAATTTGAAATTTTAAAATGCCATATATTATAGCATCATAAATTGCCACATAATTAGAAATAAAATCTAAAGGTATTTCCTTAAAACTATAAAACATTCATGAGTAAAATTAACAATGATCAAAATAAATGAATAGATACTCTATGTTCATGGACTGAAAGACTTAAGATGTCCATTCATCTCAAGTAATCTATAGATTTCACACTGACCTATCGAAATACCAGTAGGTTCTTTCTAAAAATTTAGCAAGCTGATTCTAAAATGTATAAGGAATTCAAATGCTGTATAGATACAAGTAAAACACTATCATTAAATTCAAAAACTACAAGTAAAAGCAATCACACTGAGAGACAATGAACATTATAGCCTTACCTTCTAAAGTGTAGTACTTTAATTATCTATGTGCACAAATATTTGGTTGTTTTGGATTTCTGCCCACTGACAGTTTCATGTATTTATAATACACTATTGCATTAATACTTAAAGAAATTATTTACAAAATAACAATACCAAAATATTTGCTGAAAATATTACTGAGTGATGCTCTAATATTAGTGGGTAGTCCATAATATGTGTACAGACCATCTAGTGTTTTACCTACAACTTCTGTAATTCAAAGCTATCGTATTATCATAAACAAAATACAAGATCCTCTTCTGACATTTACTAATGGCATAGTTTACATCTTTCAGTTGCTATAGAGCAGTAGTTCTCAGAGTACAGTCTAGGAACCATCCAAGACCCCTTAATACTAAGATATTATTACTTTTCTTTTTTTACTGAGACAGGGTCTTGCTATGTTGCCCAGGCTAAAGTGCAGTGGCTAGTCACAGGTACAATCATAGTACACTGCAGCCTTGAAGTCCTAGGTTCAAGCAATTATCCTGCTTTAGCTTTCTGAGTAATTATTTGCTTTTATAACACTCAATTTTTCATGAATGTAAAGTACAGTTTCTACAGAGGTTATGAGACATGTAATATAACAAAAGATTAAATGCAGAAGCAAAAATGAGAATGCACCTTGTCTTCTTTTAATCTAGCAATTAAAATGATTTGCAAAAATGCAAAAAAAAATGCCATGCTTCTGGGGTTTTTTTGGTCTTAGAAAATGATTGATTTTCATTAATTTATGCTAATATGTAATGGGTTTATGGTTATTATTTTAAATGAATATTTTTAAATTCTCATTTCCATTTTTAATACAATAAATATTAATACACATAATGCACATTAATAAAACTCTTTAGGTCGTCAAAAATCTTAAGAATAGAAAGTGTTCCTGATTACCAAAAATACTGAGAATCACTGTAGTACAGTAACTAACAATTTCTAAGTGGTAGATGTGGAAAGAATAATCCAGATTACTACAATGAAAACCAGAAAATGTATTTTAGAAAAGATTTTCATACATTCGTGTTTAGATTTTTCTTAGTGAGACACTACATTAGGCCTCTTTCAGTTCTTAAATGAATAAAATTCACCAATGAAACAACGGCCTAACACCAATACAATGTAAGATGCACACAGATTTTTTTTCTTCTTCCCATCATGATGCATCCCTAATATAACAGAATGGAAAAATAATTTTCCAAGTCTCTTACCCAACTTTGAGAGTTAGGTACTGCCTACATATTAAACACTGCTCCCTGTCTTCCAAACTGTCCTTCCCTTACTCTACGGTTTTCAACATGTACAACTTTTTAATATATTATATAATTTGTCTATTTATTACATTTATTTTGTCATTCTATCCAATATAACATAAGCTAAATAAGGGGAAGTGGGCTTTTTTTTTTCTGCTTTATTCACCAATATATCTGTGTTTAGGAGAGTACCTAACATAAAATGAATACAAAATATATATTTGTTGAATGAATTAATGGATATTTTACTAATGTAAATATAAACTTTGGCATTATACCAGGGAAGCAGCAGTAGGTCTTACCAAAAGATACCTGGACACAGCAACACATAAGTGCTATGGATACAGGCAGGAAGCTGGGGCTGAAGGAAAAACTCCTAGGGCTGAAGAGTTTTCTCTTCTAGTCCCAGAATGAAGAAAGATAAGAAGACAGAGACAAGGAAAGGAGACAGATTTGGAAATAGTTCAAACTGGAGGCAACAGCAGTAGCTTTTATCCTCCAATCCTAGGATTCCATGAATATAAACAAAGAAAAATAAGGATAAGAACAGCTAACACACCTCTCTTCTCCCGATGTATTTCTTCCAGAAGCTGCTCCTGCCTTTCTATCTGTTGAAACAGACATTGGAGCTCAGCTTCCTTGTTTTCAGTCAGATCCTTGAGTTGTTGTCTGGAGAGCATGAGCTGCTGTCGCAGATTTTTCTCTCTGGTTTCTCTCTCTTTCAGTTCCTCACAGAGCCACTGAAGTTTAGTCTAAAAAAATGACATTTATATTTAATTTTTTAAAAATCCAGAGAACTGTAGAATTTCAAAACATGAGGCAAAAATAAAGTAACATCATGATAATCTGAACAAATATAGACGATAACTAGCAAATTTAAGCAAAATTTCAAAATACCTCTATTTTAATTTGCATAATGGTTTATATCAGTTAAAAGTTGGTTGGGAAATTAAGCCATGATATTCTCAGATTATTATGAAATATTTGGTATACTCTATCATCTTGATAAAGGCAATACCATAGAATACCTTGGCTAATTAAACTTCTAATCATAATAGTAATTCCCTAATTTGATATACAAGGCAGTCTAGTACAAGCATCTAAAAACCAAAAATATCTGAGAATAGAACTACAGATTTGTTATAAAAGGGAGTCTTATTCCAGAGATTTAAACAAAGACAAAATTCCTAATTATGACTCTTAAAAATGCATATCCCCGGGTAGCAGGAGAGATTCTCTAGGTGCTGGGGAAGATAAAGTCAACATTCACCCATAATTAAGAGACTAGGAAAGTTAATCCAGGGAACTCTTTTTCACAGACTCTAACCTTGGCTATCTTTAATATTTAGATATTTAAAACAGTAATTGGAAAAGAAATATTTTTTCTACCTTCAATATAATAAGATTTCAGTCAGGTCACAGGATCTTTCTAATCCCTAGTTGATTTTTAACAATGAAACAGTCCTTACCCCAGTAAAAAGCAAAATGACAGAAGTAGTAGATGAAAAGGCAAAATTAGACTAAGGAACAATTTCCTTTATAAGCATAAGCAGGAAAGTTCTAGGCCTCCAGAAGTCTAAGAGTTCTCAGGAGATGCCATATATATTAAGAGGATCTGAGACAGAAGAGTTCAGCCTATGAGGAAGTGGAACTAGGATATGGTCCCTGGACTGGGAGCTGTCCACATCCATCAGCTTTCAAACACCCCCAGCACCAAAGAGGCATTGACCCTTTGGTTAGAAGGACTATCTAACAAACAATGTCTCTATGACAGAACAAATAATCATTAGTCAAATTATGGAAAAATTATATAATATTGAAAGGCAACCAATGCACAATATGTGAATGTGTTGGCTAAAGGAATATCATGCTTTTAAAGGTAAACCTTGGATCATAATTACTAATATAAACTCTGATCAAAAACAAAGGGAAGGCTTCATAGTTGCTCTTCTTCCAGAATTATGGCATGAGGAGCTCTGTAGAACTGGTTCCTAATGAAATACCCATATCTAATACAAATTATTTTTTTAAGAAATTGAAGTTTCTAAATACTGTCCTATGGCCATACATCAAATGAAGAAACATTTTTTAAGAAACTCTACTAAATCTCATTAATGTAGCACTTAATATTTGACTAACTCCCTCCTTCCTATCCTCAGTGTGAAAAAACCACCACTCCTCATTCCAGAAGAATGTTGCCAAGAAGGCAGAGCTCCCACTTCCCTCAGTTCACAGTCAAGGTATATGATATCTTACTGGAAGGGCAGACTACCAGGATTTTTCATCTGTGCAGGTCTGATTTGCACAGGCTAAATTCCTGTCAAGTACAGCCAGATGTTGGGTATCTCCTCCTCCACCAATGCCTCACCAGTAGGGTGATCGCTCTACCCCAGGCACAGCAAGCGGAGAATAATGAAGTCCCAGTTGCCACTTCCCCAGACTGATTATAATAAGGGTGTTATTATGAATATGCCCAATGAATACAGATTCTCAAAAATCCTCAACAGCATAATGTAAAAGGTTATTCATTATGATCAAGTAGGATTTGTCCCAGGAATGCAAGGTTGGTTTAAGACATGAAAACCATATTAATAGAATTAAGAACAAAAGCCACATGATTATATAAAAAGGTACAGAAAAAGCATATGATAAAATTCAACCATGCTTTCATAATAAAAACACTCAGAGAACTAGGAATAGAAGGGGGAACTTCCTCAATCTGATTTTTAAAAGTCTATGGAAAACCCACAGCTATTTTCATACTTAATGGTGAAAGACTGAATGCTTTTCCCCTAAGGTCAGAAACAAGAAAAATATGTCTTCTCTTACCATTTCTATTTAATGTGACATTAGGGAGTCAACAAAGGGCAATTATGCAGGAAGACGAAATAAAACATATCCAGATTGAAAAGGAAGAATTAAATATATCTCTATTTACCAATGACTGGCTTCTGTATAAGAAAATCTTATTCCATTAAAAAACCTATTAGAACTAATAAAAAATTTCAGCAGGTTGCAATATATAACAGGAATCAATGATGGCCAAGAGATATATACCGTGATGGCCAAGTTACTGACTTACAGAACTATTAAAAAGGAAACCTAGAAGAAACAAAGAGTTAGGAGTGAAGAAGTTAACATCAGATTGAAAAATATTGAAGTTGTTAAGCGTAAGAGATAAAGAAGCACAGATGACTAGTTGAATATGAGTCTAAGATAAAAGATCTGGACAAAAGATACACACTAAGGAACCATCAGCATTGAGGGAGTAAAAGGGACAGAAATTGATAAGATAACCCATGAAATGACTATAGAGCCTGAAAATGAAAAGCTGAGATGAAATGGCTAGTCTTTCTCAAAGGGCAATATGGAAGAGAAAACACAAAAAGAAAAAAAGAAAGAAAGAAATGGCTGGAAGAGTAAGAGGAAAACTCAAAGTAGGCTGATAGAACACAAAGGAAGAATATACTTCAAAAAGATGGATATGCTCAATATCAAAGACTGTCGAGAGGAAGAGACAGGCATATATATATATATATACATATATACATATACATATATACATATACATATATATACATATACATATATATATATATATATATATATCTTTGTCAAAATTAACTGCATCTCACTCCATCTAGCCAAAACAGGACTGAAAACATGGTGATTCTGTCTACTAAGGAGAGAGGGGTAGAAAGGGAAATGATAGTAGATATTCAAAATGTATTCTGCTTACTTCTGTATTATTAGTATCTTTAAAATGAGAATATACTCAATCCATTATATAACAAAAATTATTCTAGACAATTTAACTGGTAATATTAGATATAGGTCAGTTTGACAATGATTCTAAAGTATTACTTACATCATTAATTTACTAACTGATATTAACTAGGCAAAATAAGAGAAAGCCTACATTATCACTGCCTATTTCTATATTAAAACCACAATCTGAATCCATAGACCATACTTTTTGTTCATCTCACCAAATCTTGCCATTTCCAGTTAAAAAAACAAAATTACACTGAAAAGACCCAATGAGTATCATATTATTGGTATGATGTAAGAAAGAAGGAAAGGTTAGATCTAATTTCTGGAAAAGACTACTGTCAATCACTTTTTTTGCTGTTTATTTGGCACTTCAAATACACACACATAGGCCAGGCGCAGTGGCTCACACCTGTAATCCTAGCACTCTGGGAGGCCGAGGCAGGCAGATTGCTCAAGGTCAGGAGTTCGAAACCAGTCTGAGCAAGAGCAACACCCCATCTCTACTATAAATAGAAAGAAATTAATTGGCCAACTAATATATATAGAAAAAATTAGCCAGGCATGGTGGCGCATGCCTGTAGTCCCAGCTACTCGGGAGGCTGAGGCAGAAGGATCACTTGAGCCCAGGAGTTTGAGGTTGCTGTGAGCTAGGCTGACGCCATGGCACTCTAGCCTGGGCAACAAAGCGAGACTCTGTCTCGAAAAAAATACACATCTTTATGCTTATACAGTAAAGAATTTAGCACACTAAAACGTTAAGACTTTCTCTAAGAATGTCATAATATTCTTCAATTAAAAGCTCCTTGGGAGTGTTGTGCATGTGTTAATGCCCACACATACACACACACACACACACACACACACACACACACACAAACTGCTAGTACAGTGTTCTGCACATATTAAGGATCTGACACATGCAACTAAATGAAAAATAAGATGCTGACAAGTTCCTATAAAGAAGTAGCAACTTGCATTTAAGTAATAAAACAAAAAAGGTGGTATCTTGAAAATTTTTAAAAAATCCAAATTTTTTTAGTATTATTACATTAACAAAGCTTAATGAACATTCAAAAGTAACACATTTAAAACCTGAACACTTCAGCTTGGACTACAAAAATACAACCACAAAGAAGAAGGGCTGGAACAATGTACATATGCCAGACCTGGTAACTCTACACCATTTAGGCATGGTCATCAACAATAGCTTTCAGATGGCATTTTGAAAGCTACAGACTCTGATTCCATTGAACCAAATACTTATAAATTACTTCACCAAATAGCTTTAAGAACTCTAGATAGTATCTGCTGTGTTTCATAAATTGGGGAAGCTGGGCAACAAGCAAATCTATAAATCTCATATTCACATTTCAAAAGTGAAGTGCCTAGAAACTAAAGTTTATTTCCAAAATTATTTAATCACTGCCAATGGAAATATGCTATGCATAGTTCTCCAAGGATTGGCCTGAGATCAGGTGTTATTTAATATTATCACAAATAATTAGATAGCAGAATATTAAATTGATCTATTGCATAATGGAATAATAAGTTAATGGATATAATTATCTATACTATACTATGGTATAGTATAATGGAGATAATTATCACCTTTTTAACAGAGAATAAAATGAAACAACTTTGGTCAACAGAAGAAATACATATGCACAAGATAAAATTTAAGAGTTAAATCTGAAGGAGTACACTTTAAAAAATTAGCAAATTAACTTTGGACTGATATAAGGTTTGAGGTTCACAGTTGACCACAGACTATACAAGAGACCTGTGAGAAAAGCATAAAACAAGTCATCTTTCAACATCCTATCAAGAGGAAAACCATCTGTTCTGGGTACAAGTCATTATTATATAGTATCACAGGATTTAATTTGGTTGGTATGCATCAGAGTGGGCAAATGTAAACAGCTATAATTGCCAGGTAGAAAACATCAATAAAAAATGTGGATGAAAAAATAACACTTTTTTAAAAATGAGCTACTCATTTAGGCTTTCTTTTACCATTTTGAACTAAACATGGATATAAGAAATGTGTGCACTTCTCTTAAATCTACTCTCAGAAGAATAACAGTACAAGCATAGTACAAAATACAATGTTTTCCCTCCATGTTGGGAATCAGTAGGATGAGGATGACGTCAAACTATAGTTCAGATATCCCTTCTAATGTAGTCAGGTTTATGGTTCTTCTCAGCTCCAACTGTTTTCTATTACATGAGAATGAAATCTCAGTTTATCAGATCTTCTGATATATCAAAAGGAAAACAAATCCCAGATGGTAATTATGCAATTGCCTGATTTTTTAAAAGTTCACTACCAATTCATTTTTTTTAAAACCCATGTGGTCCAAACAAAATGGGTCCCTGGGGGTCACTGGTTCAGTCCTCCAGTTTAATCTGTTCTTACCCAGGATTTAACTACAAGTTTACAAAATATCCTCCCTTTTCCTCTTACTCAATGCTTTTCCATCTATTCCATCTCAATCTTTGACCTCTGTTCACTGCCCGTGGTCACTACCATTGCTAAGAAGTGGTAACAGAAACGAATCTGTTTTGTCTTAATAACAATCCTATTGGTTCTGGTAAAAATGAAATAATAGAAAAAAATACTGGAAGCAAAGTATTAAGCAAGTTAGATATACATTATGGATTGAACGGTGTCCCCCAAAAATTCATATGCTGAAACCCTAACCCAAAGTGTGACTGTATTTGGAGATAGAGCCTTTTAGGGAGATAATTAAGGTTAAATACGGTCATAATGGTGGAGAACTAATCTGATAGGGTTCTTGTCTTTATAAGCAGAAGAAGAGATACCAGAACACTCTCTCTCTCTCTCTTCCAGCAGTACAGAAAAATAGCCAAGGACACAAAGAGAAGATGGCCATTCTACAAGCAAAGAGAGAGGTATCACCAGAAACAAACCTGACACCTTGACCTTGAACTTCTAGCCTCCAGAACTGTGAGAAAACAAATAATCTGTAATTTAAGCCAACCAGTGTGTGTATTTTATTATAGTAGCCTAAGCAGACTTATACAATATGACCTATGGCTTTAGCTCATTCCTATGAAGCTTTCATTTCATTGTCAAACTTAAAAATATGCTATAGTTAGATACTTTTTATGAATTGAATATGTATGCATAATATATTAATCCTATAAAACATCAACTTATGAAAATTTAATCAACCAATAATCAATTATGAGAATTAGTGTTTGTTAGATAAATCCCAGCATCTTCATTAAGTATCTTAAAGAAGCACCTTGGAACACAGTATAGGAATAACTTTAACAATTCCAAATAACGATTAGCTGACAAGGCTATTAATCACAGAGAAAAAATCATTCTATTAACCACTCACAAGAGCATCTTACAGATTACATAATAGGCTCATTTATTTAGCTACATCAACAAGTATGGCTAAATAAACCAAAATAAAGAATTTGTAAATAAGGCAGTCTTTTACCTTTATAGTTGTCAGCTTACAATAAGGTAGGAATATTCATAAGTATCTAGTAAAACTATCAAGATGACCTTTTTAATCTGTGATAATCCTCTATTGAGATTTAACATAATATACTAAAGTCATGCTAAGGTATGACTCAAAGCTAAAAACTAAGAAAAACAGAAAATTCAAATTAAAGGTTATAGCTTACAGAGTTAGCAATAATATTAGGACCCAGAAATTTGCTGCTTTAACTACTATGTTACCTTCACCAGAACTCTAAAACTAATTTCAGAAGGAAATGTTTACATAAGAACTAGAGATAAGAAAGGGGATGACAATTTTTTAGAATGAGCTAGGCCACCAAAATAAGAATTAAACCAAAACTGCAAAATTCAAATACAAGTCAACCTAAAAATATAATTTATTCAGTAATATTTTTCCACATTTCTACTTCACTACAAATATAAAACAGAAAAAAGCAAAAATATCTCCATAGCAGTATACAATTTAAAATATAAAATATTTTTCTCCAATTAAATTGAGTATATTCATGTAAACTATCTAAATTACATTTCCAACAAATGAATCAAGATACTAAGTATAGCATTTCATTTCTGTATTAGATGGCTAAAATACTACATGATTGTTCACACCCATCAACAACAATTAAATATACAGAGTGTAATACTTTTTATACAATAACTAGTTTAAAAAAATCTTAACTAAAAAGACAATATTCATAAATGTAACATTTACATTCAAGTGGAGATCACACAACCAATGAAAAGAAACAATGGCACAAAGTTCAGAGACCAGAGTGCTAAACCTTCTCAGTAACTAATTAGCTTTATGTATGGAGGTAAAACTGAAAATTCCCTAGGCCTCAGTTTTCTCATCTACAAAATGAGGAGGTCAAACTACAAGATCTCTAAGGCTGCTTCAGTCGTACAGTAGGGAAAAGCGAATGCTTATCAATGTCCAGAACACATTATACTGTAGAAAGTGTGACTCTCTGAGACGTTGCCAAAAAAGGACAATATAGGAAAATCCCCAAATAATTTGGAAGTATATGTCTTACCAGTATAATCTCAAAGTTTACAGCTCTGATCAAATAAAAACAATATTTGAGAATTAATAGATTCACTGAAAGCTAATCTGCTTGTTATTTATTCAGCTGAGGAAGTACCTTGAGTGGAAAAATGCAGCAAACCCAATATAATTACTTTTTTAAAAAATACGTATTGAGCATTTAGCCAGGCATTGTGATAAATGCTAAAGGTGTAATGAGGAACAGGATAGTCAAAAGTCTTCCCTAGGAAAGCTCACAGCCTAATGAAAGAAGAGTAAATGGGGAATTTCAACACTTCAGACAAAGACCAAGAAGTAGTATAGCTTTTTACAAAGTGCAATATAAATAAGCTGAAGAAAACCTGATTTCTACATACCTTGCCAGAATTTAATACAAAAACACATCCCTAATCTATGGGAATTCCTCACCTGACATTTCTTAACAACCATCTCAATCCTCTTCCTTCCTGTAATGTCTTATTCTTGCCATCCATTTTATCAGTGAATCTGATCCAACTCTCGTCCAACTCTCCAAAGGACTTCATGTTTATGTTATGCCACCAATGCCAACAAAGCAACTGTGATCCATTCGCAGCCCAACCACCCAGTTTTCTAGAATTAACACTCACAGAAGAAATTCATTTGGCAGATTTATGAAAACAATTACCGAATGCCCTCAGAGGCCCTACTGATACTGCAAGATGTCAGAATGGACTAGCTGAATAGCAATTCTACTTTCCATATAGTTTTTGCCCTCTGATTTCAGATTTTATCTTCAATACTTATAGAGCTGCCTAGTCATAGTTCATGGGAATTACAGTATTGTAGCCCATCAATAACCTAAGCCATCTTTCTAGTAAATAGATTCAATTCCTCCTTAGTCGGTTGGTCAACAAGGTATTTTTTATCACAATTCGTTTACACTGCAGAAGAAACAGTTGTCTCATGCAGTGTTAAAACTGGTCTGATCAGAAGTTCAATCCCATTAAATGATAAGGGAAAACTGTTCACTAGCTCCCAAATTAAAGAGCTATGATTAAGAGTCATCTCTGGCTCTCATAATTTAACAGAACCACAGCAGTGAAAGCTTTCTGTTCAGAAATGATAAAGATTTTAACTTGAAAGAAAATTCCAAGTATATTGCTCTTGTTGTCAGAATTGTAGAGTCCAGATAAAGAAAAAAAGAGAAATGCTGTATTTATTCCCAATAGAAATTTCTAGCCAAAAATTTCTAATACAGCAAAACATGTATATTCTAAATTTCCTATGCAGGTGGCATAAAAAAACATTGCAGTTCCTTCTATCAAAAATGGTTAGGAACACACATGATCTCTGTTTTTAAAGTATAAGAGGAAAATTTACAAGGTAAGGTAAATTCTAATGTTCTATCACAATACTTTTATTTTCTTATTAAGATTTTTTTAAAGATGTTTCTGTAGTATTGCTGGCCTCCAAAGGTGAACCTTGTCTTTCCATCCCATCCCCTCCCACCTGTACCTTACTCACCAATCTCAGTGCATTATCTGTGATTACTCAAATATTCTATTTTCTTAGCATCGTTCTATGCATAATTAGTCAACTGGAAAGTGTCCACATATTTTTTGTATGACCAAATTTAAATACTGTTTTTTTCCAGGAGTTGTCTATGACATGCTCGCAACATCATATCATCCCACCCTCCCAAAACAAATATGTTGTGTGTTCCTTTGTCAATATTCACATCTATCTATGACAATATGACCTTTTAAAATTTGTTTACATCTCAATTTTCCCTATTAGACTTTACACCACATAAGCACAAAGTCCATGGCTTGCTAACCCTTTTGTCTCCAGTGTGTGAGACACAAAGTAGTACACAATCAATAAACCTTGGCTAAATGAACAATGGCTTTGGGTGGCAATATGCATAATGTGAAAACATTAACTGTGAGTCAGATGTGGCATGTAATCTGTTTTTCTATTCTTTACATGACATTGGACAAGTCATCTTCCTTCTCTGAAACCTCACTTTTCTCATATTTTTAAATAAAAATGATGGACAAAATTTAAAGTTTCTTTCTTGCAATAAAATCCTAAATTGGGCTACAATTAGTCAGGTTTACAGTACAGGTGGTTTTCTTATGGAATTTAAATTAGATGGACAATTTTCCACTTTAGTATCTAAAAGCTAAGAAAAATCAGTCTAAAAAGGAATACAAGTAAATAAGTATTGATACTTGAATAAACAGATATCTATAATTTATCTGGTCACAACTTTCTATAATTTTAATTAATGAATCTCCAAATTGATCTGATATATGAAAATAGCTGATGATTATCCCATAGTGCACAAGAATTTTTTGCTACAATTAGAAAATTATTCCATTTTATTTATTTTTCCTTATCTTTTATAAAATTTAAATCATAATAGCAAAGAACAATGATGCAGAAAAATTATCTTAATCCCTATCAAAGTACCATCATCATTCTTTACAGATCTAGAAAAAATAATTCTATACTTTTTATGGAACCAGTGAAGACCTCATATAGCCAAAACAATCTTAAGTAAAAAGAACAAACTGGAAAGTATCAGTCTACCCAACTTCAAGCTGTCCTACAAAGCAATAATAATTTTAAAAGCCTGGTACTGGCACAAAAACAGAGACATACACCTTTGGAACAGGACTGAGAATCCAGACATGAAACCATCCGCATATGGTCATCAAATCTTTGACAAAACAGACAAAAATATATACTGGGGAAAAGAATCTCTTTTTAATAAATGGTGCTGGAAAAACTGGATAGCTACATGCAGAAGAACAAAACTGGATCCCTACCTCTCACCTCTCACAAAAATCAATTCAAGATGGATAACAGACTTAAACCTAAGGCATGAAACCTTAAGAATTCTAGAAGAAGATGTTGAGAAGACCCTTTTAGACATCGCCCAGGCAAAGAATTTTTGAAGAAGACCTCCAAAGAAATCACTACAGCAACAAAAATAAATGGGATCTGATCAAATTAAAAACCTTTTGCACAGCCAAGGAAACTATCATTAGAGCAAATAGATAACCTACAGAATGAAAGAAAATATTTGTGCTCTACACATCCGATAAAGGGCTGATAACAAGAATTTATCTAGAACTTTAAAAATCAGCAAGAAAAAAAATCAAACAACCCCATCAATAAATGGGCAATGGAAATGAACAGAAATTTCTCAAAAGAACACAGAATAATGGCCAGCAAACATATAAAAAAAATGCTCAACATCTCTAATCATTAGAAATCAAAACCTCAATGAGATATCACCTAACGCCAGTGAGACTGGCCTCTATCAAAAAATCCCAAAACAACACATGCTGGTGAGGATATGGAGAGATGGGAACACTCTTACATGCTGGTGGGACGGCAAATTAGTGCAACCTCTGTGGAAAAGAATTCGGAGATACCTCAAAGAGCCAAAAATAGAAATACCATTCAATCGAGCAATAGCACTATTGGGCATCTACCAAAAGGAGCAAAAGACATTCTATAATAAAGACATCTGCACCTGAATGTTTCTGGCTGCACAATTCACTATTGCAAGGATGTGGAAACAAACCAAGTGCCTGTCAATTCATGAGTGGATTATTAAAATTTGGTAAATGTATACAATGGAATATTACTCAATTATTAAAAAATGACAGTGATCTAGAACCTCTTATATTTTCCTGGATTGAGCTTGAGCCCATTATCTGAAGTGAGGTCTCACAAGATTGGAGGAATAGCCTTCACGTGTACTCACCATCAAATTGGCACTAAGTGATCATCACTACGGTGCTCACACGGTAGTAATATTCTCCAGGGATTAGAGGGTTGGGGTAGGTAAACTCACAACTAAAGGACACAGTGAGCATTGCAGAGGGGAAGGGCACGCCTCTAACCCTCGCTTGGGTGAGGCAAAGACATAAAATGTAACCAAAATGTTTATACCCACATAATATACTGAAATAAAAATTTTAAAAAAAGAACATAGAGTTTACCGGTCTCATTTTATAAAAGATACCTATACAGGTGAAAGGATCAGCGTTTGTTTGATCTTACCCTCAGAAACCAAAATATGTTAAGTGTACATTTTTAAAAAGAAGATTACTCCCAGCTGTCCTTTGTACACTTCCAGAGACACTGCCCAAGTAAAAGGCAGAAGAATTTGTCTCTGTGAACATCTGGTTCTAAATATTTCAACAGATCACCTTCTTTCATTCTCTCACTCTATGCCTATATAGTTAAGCTAATTTCTAAATGTTATAATAAGAAACATGGATGTGACTTAAAATCCACTACAATCGTATCTTCCCTGGCAATAAACTATTACAGCTTCAAATGTTGAGTTATACAACAAAATATATGGCTAAACCAAATAGAATGACTTGAAGATCATAAATATTATGATAACTTTAGGATTTAAAGATTAATTACCTTGCTTTCTGCTAACCAGCGATGTGGGTCATAATGTGTATCAGGACCAGAAGAAAAAACCTACAAGAAAGAAGAGCCTATTAGAAAGAGATTTTTCTCTAACATAACTTATTTAGTTCAAATATAAAGATATAGAAAATCAACTATCACATGTTATCACTGCTACAATCTCTGAGAGGCTAATTTCAGAGTTCCACATAGCAAGCAGCCTCAATTAAAGCCAGTTCACTTCATTTTTGTTTCTTTCTTTTTCTCAGTCTTTTAATATTTCACAAGGGGTTAGATGTGATTATTTGGAAACTTAATTCCTTCTCTCACTTACTATTCCTTAGTTTAATTATGAGAGCCATATTGTCTCATCAATGAGTTGTCAAAAACAGACAAAAACTCATCAACATGACTTCATCCAAACATTGCTTTATATTTCAAGATAATAACAAAATTCTACAGTAAATAAGATTGCCTTTATGACTAACTGCCTTGATTTCCTTCACACCAACTTATCTATAAAATCTTTTGCCATCTAGTTTTGCCTTATTACTGAAGCAAACTTGTACTCAAAGACTGTCAATGACTTTATAAACACAAATTATTTACTCAATTCCTACTTTCTTTAAACCCTGTGTTACATATAATATTTTTGCAGGGGCTCTTTCTAGAATTTTTGTCTAAATATATCCTATTCTTCTGCAAAGAGATATCAATTTCCATTTTCAAATCCTTCCATACCTCCTGATGGGTGTCCACATTACTTCCCTGTCAGTAACATCATTAACTCATTTAGACACATGATGAATGCATACTGAGTGCCTACCACATGCCATGCACAAAATTGTTGCATTCTTATACCAAACTTTTCTTTCATCCACTTTTCTATCACCCAAATCGCGTGCCCTCCCTATCTTTTCAGTGAAATTTTCCCTAATCACCCTAACTCAGAGTTTTCTTTCTCTTCCAAATCTCTACTGTGTTGTTGAATATTTTTAAAAATTCATGTCATTGATTATAATATATTTTTATTATTTTCATTTTCATTCACTTGTTATCCATGTTAATCAAATCTTTAGTGATCTAAGATATGGTCCTCAAGATTAAAGTAAAAAATAATTTGATGTGATAGGTATTAGTAATGTTCATATTTTATGATTTGCTTTACAGATTTACATACAGTTTTATGTTTAAGAGAACAGCTTTTATCACTTACAAGTGGTATGGCTTTATTTCTTTAAGCTACAGGTTATATCACCAGTAAAGCGGACAAACTCCCTTATAAAACCAAGGTATAGATCAAACAAAATGAATGTTAGCACAATGTCTGGCACATAGAACACACTCAATACACCACCATAACTACATAACAAGATGTCATCATGAATAAATAGAATTCAAGGTCTATAATGGCAAGAGTACTATAACAGGCATTTGTTATAAAAAAGGTAAGAAAAGAGAAGCCATATAACTATGTGAACATGTTACCAAAAAAGGCACCACATAATTATGACAGTTAACATTACTTGAGTATCTACTAAGTGCAAGATATTTCACACTACAACGTGACCTTCTGTATCTTATTTTACTTAACGTTCATAATGAGCCAACTTATAATTGGGGACATGAATTCTTAGAGAGGATATAGATTATGTAACTCATCCAAGGTTATATATTGGAAATTTGGAAAGATGCAATATGAACCTATAACTTTCATCATCTGAAACCTATCCTCTTCATGCTCTACAATTGAAGAATATTCAGACCAACTGTTATAAGAAGAGAAAGACTAATATAAAGACATGATACAGAGCTAATCTATTTATTTGAGCTCTTAAATTATCAAAGATTGGCCTATGAGAATAAATATAGAAATAAATCTTTAATTCAGACATTTTCCTAGTTGTTTTATAATGGTAGTGGTTTATTGTATGCCTGCCCTTAATTTTCAAACACCACATGCATTAATTAAATAAGTAACAAATATGGTGACTGGAAAAAGAAAATGTAATTAAAAATAAAATTAACATTCCTCAGGACTTTTCTCAAACTCAATTGTTACATTTCTCAAACTCATTTGTTACATATCTATTTTCTAATCTATTCCAAATCACATTCTCTACATATAATGGCTGAAAATTCTATCAGCAATAGTTCAAGAATCAAGAATTGACAAAGAATAATTGGAATTATTCCTTTTTTGAAAACATTTTACATGATTCTTCTACCACTCTCCCACAGAACTATAAACCACAAAGTAAAAAATCAATTTTATCTTTAACAAACCTCTGTTGGTTTTTTTTGAGGTAAGAACAAATGCTATGTTCTTGGTATTCCATTATTTTTCAAGTTTATACGAATAAAATGACAGAAATTACTAATAGAAAGAGACCCACAATGAAAAACTGTAGACTCTTAAAAGAAATTAATAGAATTTCCATGCTTTTAGTTTCCTTTCCACCCATGAATTGGGTTGAATTAGTCTTTCTCTAGGGGAAGAGGTATAAAGATACATTCCCATAATCACTCCATGCCTGAAAGCCTATTAAAGAATAGGGTGCTTCTTAAAATATTTCAGGATAATTTGCGCCTCATAAAGGAATAAAATATTTAAACTATCTGGTATCTACACACCATGTTTTTGCCTGTGATTGCCCATAACAAGGTTTATATATTTTATAACATGAGCCAAATGTTTTCATTTTATATTCCCACATGATTGAAAACAAACCAGCCTGGCACAAATATTTAAATATAGAATAAATATTGCATTGTTAATAGGTACTTCTTTTAGATGAAATTAGGATTTTTAAGGCCACACATTCTTTAAATATATGCAAACAAGACAAATCTTAAATTTAAAAAGCAACACTGACAGGAAAAAAAAAATAAACCAACATCATAATAGGCCTTAAAACAGCCCTAAAAAATAGTTTTCCCTTAAAATCAATTATTTCTCATATTAGGCTCATAGCCCTTTCAAATTGACATTTGAACATTTTTTTTTAACTGTAAATAGGAATACATATTGTAAAAATTTCATCAACTCTCTAAATTTTATCAGTTGAAGTATTTCCATTAAAGTCAAATTCTAAAAAAGCTTTGGCTGCAAAAGTAGAATCATAGTTTTAATTTCTTTTAAAGACAACTTAAGAGAGATAAGAAAATAAGTTGGAGAGGAAGAGCAGGTAAAGAGAGGGAAGCACAGGAGTATGAGAAGGGAAGATTATTCTAGAGGAGGGTGAAAACAAATGAATGGCAAAATAAATAGAAGAAACACCTGAAAAGTAAAAAGCACATAAGTATAATACCAAAATTTGAGAGCTTTCATATCATTAAATGAAGTAAAAAAAGGTGCTGAACTGTAATGTGTTATGATTACACCGTATCAAAGCAATGTAATACTCTCCGTATGTAATAAACAGTACCAGAACCTGCAGTTGACCGAAGTACTTACCTTCAAGGAATTCAAAGCATCTGTGATCACTTGTTTTTATTTATCATTTCATGACAACTATAAATTGAGCAGCAATATTCCATTTTAAAAATAGAAAAACTAAATAAATATAATTTGTTTAAATAGGGAAGGTAGATAGCATCGTGGTTACTTGTTTAGGTCCAGAGTTAGATGTCCAAGGTTTCAAATTCTAATTTAGAATTTAACCATATGTATGGCCAACCCTCACTTTCTCTTCTCTCAAGTGGATTTAGTCAGAGTAACTAAGAGGTAGGATTGTTTTAGGGGTTAATGAGAGACACTGAAGTACCATATTTTACCACAGTACCTATAATATACTCACTAGATGTTAGCCTGTAATATACCAAAAACAACAAAATAGCCTGTGATAGTGAAAAATCCAAGCTCCAGACTTCCTGACTCCATGGATATTTTCTTGAGTCAGAACTGCTGCCTCTCTTTTAAGACATTTTCTTTAACAGAGTGAGACACAGGCAATTCAATGGAATAACACCATGCTTTCTCTCATCATAATCGTGCAATACACAGAGTGCCTCATTCTAAAAAAGAAATGCAAGAAGTTATTTTGTTTCATAAAACTTTCTGGAATAAAAATCTGACTACCCTGTAACCATACATAAATATGCAATTATAATTATATATTAGGAATCTAAGTGAAAATTTAGGGCACAAAGAGAAGTTATAATTACTTTCAATTTCTCCATCGAGTCCCTGAAGAAGGTTTTACAAGCTGCATCAATTTCCTTTCCTATCACAACAAGAATGGACTCTTGTTCAGTCTCCAAACAAAGAAGTTGATCCTTGAGCTGCAATCTGGCCTCTTCCATCCTCCTTAAGTGCTCTTCTTCATTGCTTATATATTTTTCCTAAGGCATAAGAAATAAAATGTAAGTTGATTATTGAGTAGAGGCAAAAAAAATACTTGTAATATCTGTACACCCAGCTAAAAGAACTGGATTACAAAATAGATCTGACTCTGTCAGCTCCTTTACTAAAATAAAACACTCTACCTACTCATTAATTGATATAAAATTATAGACAGTTCAGCAGTAGGGCAGTTTGGGAACTAGTAAGCAGATACTTAGCAAACAAAATTATAATAATTCTGCAGTCAACAGAAAAAAAAAGAAGTTGAAAAAAAATCCTTTACCATTTTAATAATATATTGCCACTAATGGATCAGAGAGTAAAAGCTGATACCACAAACTGACTTCAGGCTTTCACTGAACATTAGTAAACCACCAGAAAATGAAAATTGCCAAATGTGATGCTGTTAGTTTCTTCATTTGAGAAAAAAAGTGTTATTGCCCTTACTCATCAAAATATTAAAAAAAAAAAAAAAGTCTAAGTTCTCAAATGCAGCCATACTACATAAATGTTTTTGAGTTAAGAAAATCTGATACAAGCACGATGGAGGTACTTTTCAAGTAAGCAAATATATTCAACGAAAGGGGTTTCTAAGGAGCCCTTTAAGAGATTGCAAGGATTTGGTGGCCCCCTTTGGGCAAAACAATTCTCAATCATTATGATTATACAATTTCTTTACTAGAGAACATCAAATAGGTATTGCACAGGGCTTATTAGAAAATAACAGAATCACTAGAACTGTGTGTATAAACAATGGACTAAAGTCAAGATGGCTGGCTGTGACGTCTTCAGTCATTACACAGTAGCCTCATCATCTTTAACTAGGCTACTCAATACAACAAAACCAGGAAGATTATGTGGGCAATAAACTCAGCTTGAATTTAAAAGAAATAACAAGGAGATCCACTCGTTGAAATTAATCATGAAATGTAGAAGTATGTTTTACCAAAAGAAACATAAATGACATTTTCTTTCATATCAACTTATTAATACTTTAAAAAAATGAAAAATTCTTTGCTCAAAAGGACAAATCCTTTCATAATCTATCTTCTGCTCCTCTTTGCTGCCTCATCTTCCCATTTCCACTTTCTAATACTTCGACTGCTTACAGTGTCTTAAATATGCCTATGTATCCGCTGACCACATCTGACTTGTACAACTGTGCTTGAAGTTGTGATGCTTCAAAATGGGGCTGGTAGCCAAGCATTTATCTTGATGAGCTCACTTTAGTTCATCATCTGAGTCTGGATCTCAGCTTTGTACACTTAGGAACTGGAACTGCTTTTCATTTTGGTACTCTTGAGTGGAGCCATCTTTCAGCAGTAGAGTAACATTAAGCTCACAAGAGATTAATGTACTAGAATACCACACAATTAACTACATTAGTTTACAGAGAGAACCATAACTGCCATATGGATCAGCATACTCATGTCAGCATAACCAGGACATTGTCTCCCCATAGACTGATCTAGATGGGAGGGCAAATTATAATCAGAATGTAGCTTAATGAACAGAAAATCAGAGCAAGGGGAGTTTGTTTTATCAAACAATGTTTACATGGCATCAGGCTAATGGTAGCCTGGCATATCCATCTACACATCAGGGATTTACAAACCACGATAGCAGGAGTGTAACACTTTTCTGGGCAGTGTTTACATGGAGGATGCTGAGGCGTATCTTTCTAACCTTCTGCTCTTCTCCACATCCAGTTACTGTCCAAACTCCCCCTCCTGATTGATACATCATGTCTTTATATCTATCGATATTTTCACCATCTTGTTCTCATCTATGAGCTTTTCTTAAAAATTAACATCCTAGCTCTGCACAATATTTGATAATTTTATAGCTTACTTTTTAGAAAGCAACCTTATTGCTACGTCCCTAGGTAAGGATACTGCCTCCCTATTGTCCCTATGTACCTGCTACCTGTACTTCTTATCCTTTAAAGTTTATCCTTTAAGACCCAGTCTCCTTAGTTTCTAATTTCCCAAAGGAGATCATTCCCATAGCATACTATTCATATCATAATTTCTAAAACATTTAGCAAGTTATAACATAGTTGTTTGTGCACCTGTCTCCCTCAATAAACTGCTAATTTCAGAAGATCATAAAACATGTTTCTAATCATCTTTAAAATCCCTCACTTTGCTGAATAAATGATTTAAACATTTTTTGAAGACTCAAATTCAACATGTTAAAGATGATTTCACTAATTACCCATGCACATCTATATTATCAGAGGCTACTGAGGTGTGCTAGAAGATTTCCCCACACACATATGTAAGGCCTCCCCATGGCTGCAGTGTTCTCACTAGTGTGGTATTAATAAAGAAAATACTCTATCAGAGTTATTGATGTATTAGATGTACTGCCCATAGTCTACGTCCAAGCAATTCACAATAATGTTCTAACTGATCTTTCTTTTCTCACTACCCTCACAACCATCTCTCTCTTATCCACAATCGCTTTTTTGTAGTCTCCATTAACTGTGTCTTATAAATAAGAAGACAAAACTACTTCCACCTTTTGATATTCTTAAGAATGCTGATATTGTCAAAAGAAAAAAGCTCTGTAAGTTCAATCTCTTTAGAAAAGATAGAAAATTTCATCATCCACTTCACTATTCTCTGTAAGACAGTTAGCATGCCATGTCAAATTTCCCTTGTGTAAAACTCACAGAACCATGGACTCACATGGACCTTAGAGATCACCAGGTTCAACTATCTGTTCCTTTAGGATTCCCTTCCTCGACATTTCTGACAGATGATCATGTATCCCCTACATGAACAGTTCAAGTTTCAAGGAACAGAGTACCTGACAAAGCTGTAAAATCTCTCCATTAGTGTAAATGCTATTCTCAATAATTAAAGTACACAAATTAATCCTACACTCCCACTAAACATTCTAAACTTCTGGGTAAATTTTATTTGATTAGGTTTCAGACACTTACATCATAATGGCCTCCACTCTCTGCACGTGCTCTAATACTCTAATCTAAGAGTTAAGTAAGCTTTTCCATTTTGTATTTAAACCATTGTAATTTGATTCATTCATTCATTCAATGAATATTTAAAGAAGGTCTACTCTAGGCAAGACATTTTTCTGTATATTAGATATAAACAACACAGACAAGGCTCCTACCCTTATAGAGTCAACAAATACCTCCATGAAATTTCATTACTTTTGTCCTGTCCCATTTTTCTGGCCTAGGCATATCTATTTGAACACTAATTGTGGCACCCAATGAATTAAGTCTTTCTCCCAGTTTCATGTTTTAGAAATAACTGTACTGACTAAGCAAGCACAGCTAATTCTGGGAGAGGCATTGCACAGGAACCACTGTTGTCAGATTTGGGGCATTCAGATTAATAAGGGCAGATGATAATATTTAGGCATTATTAGGGCTATTTCCTGGTCTTCTAATATAATGGTCCCCAACCTTTTTGGCAGCAGGAACCATTTTTTCCACAGACAGGGTGTAGGGTGAAAGGGGAACAGGGAAAAGGAGGGAGAAATGGTTTCATGGTGATTAAAGTACATTACATTTATTGTGCATTTGATTTCTATTATTGTCGCATTGTCACATATAATGAAATAATTATACAACTCGCCATAGGTTGGAGATTCCTGTTCTAATGTATTCAGAGGGGGCAATATCCCATGATCCTACAAGACTAACAAAAAGCGACCATATTTCTAAAGAACCAGAGGTGAAATATGGTATTTTAGAGAATGTTTAGAAATAGAAGACATAGTTCAACTTTAATGTTTCTGGGTGAATGGACACAGATGCCTGGGACTAGGGAATTTAAGAAGCTACTTTCAGGGTTAGTGGGGAAGACAGATGAAGCTGACTACAATAGTCTATGGGATCTAAGAAGAAGGGATGCCCTAGCCAAAGGCTGAGTTTGAGAAAGAACGTTAGAGAATAAATTCAACCCTTAATTTAACAAATTAGGAAACCCAATTTCAGACAGACTAAGTAACTTAAGTCAAAGAACCTACAACCCAATGACCTGAGTCCCCTTATTTCCTGACCAGTGTTCTCTGTTCAAATGCTAGAAAGGCTGAGTTCTTAAAACTGGAGTTTAGAAAGACAATGATACAGTTCCATTGTTAAGACAGCAAAGATTTCATTAAGCTTCCATTTAGGACAGGAAAGGCTTATATTGTTGACACCTATGTATAAAGAAAATTAAAAATAAGACTGCTCACAATCTCATGATAAACACACACACTGTCAACTGGCTTGATCAATTGACCTATAACTCAAAAGATGAGAAGTGTTGTTCTAATTATAGATTTATGTTTCAGCATGCTTTTTACAACTCAGAACATTCACTTTCCCAGAGGCTCTAAAGATTATAAAGAGACGTGATTTCAATGGAAATATAAAAACTTCAATAAAACAAGAGCATGTCCAAAATGATATCTCCTTGGTAAAAGCTTATGAGATTCCTTCAATGTTCTTAAGAGTTCCAGAAATGTCACTTTATTTCCAATACAGTTATTACATGAAATTAAAACAGTTCTTCACATACCTTAACAGAAACATTACATTAAATAAAGCATACTCACATGACTAAATAAATCATTAAATGAAAAGGAATCATTTTCCTTTACTGAAAACTAACTTGAGTAAACAAGTATGGCAATATTTCAGGCCTAAGATCATTTTTAATAGATCAACAGGAGATGGGAAGAGAGAAAGTAAAAGGTAGAGAAAAAGAGAGATCAAATAATATTAAAGGCCACAGCCAAAACTAAAACTAATATAATTTAATGCAAAATCATTAGATGCATGACTTGTTGAAACTATAGACTGGCACATATCACCTAAAAAGTTTAAGGAGGAATCCAGCACACTAGCATCACAAGGCAAATTATGAAACTATCCTGAACAAAAATTGGATCTGTCTGGAAGCTATGTATCTGACTCCCCAAAGAAGGCTCACATTACTTATACCAATCGTTAACTCAACTGTAAGGAAGTTAGGAT